GGGGTGGGGTGGGGCTGGGGGCCTAGGGCTAGTCGTACGTGTTTTGGGGTCGTTAAAAGCGTTCACATGTTGTAATATATAGAACGCGTAATCGGCGGTTAGACCGTGGACACAATACAACCTCGCACCAACCTGACACCACTGTCACTTGAACTTACGCGTCTCAAAGGTTAAGAGGTATGAATTAACGTCCAGTAACAATGTCCTGGGCCCGACTGCGTTATTCAGCACCGTGTGCTGGACCCAAGTTTGTTACGTGCGCCCATTTTGTTTTTTCTGTTGTAATTGGGGGAGGAGGGGGGAGGTGGGGCCATATGGGGGGGGGGGAGGGGGGGGGGAGGTGGAACAGATACAAATGCAAAGCAAGCAGTCGGTATGCTTACAGTTAACGGAGTAACAAATACTTGTGTAAACGTCAACTTGCACGCGTTTCCCGGTAGTTTACTTTTCAAGTGATCATGCTGACCTCAGCACCCACGGAGTCGCGACTGGTCAATAAAATACAGGTCTAGCCCAGCATGACCAATAAGCCTGAAGGAAAGGGTGCCTTACTTACTGTTACATGCGTCCAGAAAGGAAATATTCACCACCAACTCTTCACTTCACGCTTTGTTGAAGCAGCGGGGTAGGGAGTGGGGGGGGGGGGGGGAATATAACCTTATTGTTGTATGAGACTTACTCGGATGTGCAAGGGTAGGATTCTCATCCTTGAAGTAGTAACCCTGTGACTGCGATCCAGAAAGAAACGTGTACGATCTGATTGTCTGTTCAAACTTTTATGTACCAGACAGGAGTGGACACAGTTTTGTTTTTAATCAGCACAATACAAGAATAAAAATTACATTTTAAATACTAAAAATATAGTTTCAGAGGTGATCATATGTTATGTAACAGCTCGGTGAGCGGAAAGTACTGACAGACGGCATGTTGTGTATTACTTCTTTAAGAAAAAGTCGACCAATGATAATATTATAAATACAACTGACACAATTTTCCTTCCAAGGCGATTACTCGTGGCCTACACTTACAATTTTTCGTATACACTAAACAAGTCTCATGGTACAGATATTACTCAATCACTTCCTCCGAAACACAGCTTTTCTCATGATACAGATATTACTTATCCACTTTCTCTGACACACAGCTAGTCTCATGATACAGATATTACTTATCCACTTTCTCTGACACACAGCTAGTCTCATGATACAGATATTACTTATCCACTTTCTCTGACACACAAGCTTGTCTCATGATACAGATATTACTTATCCACTTTTTCTGACACACAAGCTTGTCTCATGATATAGATATTACTTATTCCCTTTCTCTGACACACAAGTTTGTCTCATGATGTAGATATTACTTATCCACTTTCTCTGACACACAAGCTTGTCTCATGATACAGATATTACTTATCCACTTTCCCTCACACAAGCTTGTCTCATTATATAGATATTACTTATCCACTTTCTCTGACACACAAGCTTGTCTCATGATATAGATATTACTTATCCACTTTCTCTGACACACAAGCTTGTCTCATGATACAGATATTACTTATCCACTTTCTCTCACACAGCTAGTCTCATGATATAGATATTACTTATCCACTTTCTCTGACACACAAGCTTGTCTCATGATATAGATATTACTTATCCACTTTCTCTGACACACAAGCTTGTCTCATGATATAGATATTACTTATCCACTTTCTCTGACACACAAGCTTGTCTCATGATATAGAAATTACTTATCCACTTTCTCTGACACACAAGCTTGTCTCATGAAACAGATATTACTTATCCACTTTCTCTGACACACAGCTGGTCTCATGATACAGATATTACTTATCCATTTTCTCTGACACACAGCTAGTCTCATGATACAGATATTACTTATCCACTTTCTCTGACACACAAGCTTGTCTCATGATACAGATATTACTTATCCACTTTTTCTGACACACAAGCTTGTCTCATGATATAGATATTACTTATTCCCTTTCTCTGACACACAAGTTTGTCTCATGATGTATATATTACTTATCCACTTTCTCTGACAAACAAGCTTGTCTCATGATACAGATATTACTTATCCACTTTCTCTCACACAAGCTTGTCTCATTATATAGATGTTACTTATCCACTTTCTCTGACACACAAGCTTGTCTCATGATTTAGATATTACTTATCCACTTTCTCTGACACACAAGCTTGTCTCATGATACAGATATTACTTATCCACTTTCTCTCACACAGCTAGTCTCATGATATAGATATTACTTATCCACTTTCTCTGACACACAAGCTTGTCTCATGATATAGATATTACTTATCCACTTTCTCTGACACACAAGCTTGTCTCATGATATAGATATTACTTATCCACTTTCTCTGACACACAAGCTTGTCTTATGATATATAAATTACTTATCCACTTTCTCTGACACACAAGCTTGTCTCATGAAACAAATATTACTTATCCACTTTCTCTGACACACAGCTGGTCTTATGATACAGATATTACTCATCTACTTTCTTTGACACACAATATGTCTCATGCTAACAATAGTATTGCTCATCCACTTTCTCTGATTTACGTATCTGACAACGCTTGTATTACTCAGCTACTTTCTCTGAAACATGTCTAAGGAGATGAATATTTATCAACCACCTTCTCTGGCTGGAATTATTCACAACAATGATATTATTCTACCACTTTCTATGACACACAATATATCTAACGGTAAAGATATTATTACTCATCCACTTTCTCTGACGCACACATATCTGATGGTAAAGTCATTATTACTCATCCACTTTCTCTGACCCACAACATATCTGATGGTAAAGTCATTATTACTCATCCACTTTCTCTGACCCACAACATATCTAACAGTAAAGATATTATTACTCATCTACTTTCTCTGACCCACAACATATCTGATGGTAAAGTCATTATTACTCATCTACTTTCTCTGACCCACAACATATCTGATGGTAAAGTCATTATTACTCATCCACTTTCTCTGACACACAACATATCTGATGGTAAAGTCATTATTACTCATCTACTTTCTCTGACACACAACATATCTGATGGTAAAGTCATTATTACTCATCTACTTTCTCTGACTCACAACATATCTGATGTTAAAGTCATTATTACTCATCTACTTTCTCTGACACAAAACATATCTGATGGTAAAGTCATTATTACTCATCTACTTTCTCTGACCCACAACATATCTGATGGTAAAGTCATTATTACTCATCCACTTTCTCTGACACACAACATATCTGATGGTAAAGTCATTATTACTCATCTACTTTCTCTGACCCACAACATATCTGATGGTAAAGTCATTATTACTCATCTACTTTCTCTGACCCACAACATATCTGATGGTAAAGTTATTATTACTCATCCACTTTCTCTGACCCACAACATATCTGATGGTAAAGTCCTTATTACTCATCCACTTTCTCTGACCCACAACATATCTGATGGTAAAGTCCTTATTACTCATCCACTTTCTCTGACCCACAACATATCTGATGGTAAAGTCATTATTACTCATCCACTTTCTCTGACACAAAACATATCTGATGGTAAAGTCATTATTACTCATCTACTTTCTCTGGCACACAACATATCTGATGGTATAGTCATTATTACTCATCTACTTTCTCTGGCACACAACATATCTGATGGTAAAGTCATTATTACTCATCTACTTTCTCTGACCCACAACATATCTGATGGTAAAGTCATTATTACTCATCCACTTTCTCTGACCCACAACATATCTGATGGTAAAGTCATTATTACTCATCTACTTTCTCTGACCCACAACATATCTGATGGTAAAGTCATTATTACTCATCTACTTTCTCTGACCCACAACATATCTGATGGTAAAGTCATTATTACTCATCCACTTTCTCTGACACACAACATATCTGATGGTAAAGTCATTATTACTCATCTACTTTCTCTGACACACAACATATCTGATGGTAAAGTCATTATTACTCATCTACTTTCTCTGACCCACAACATATCTGATGGTAAAGTCATTATTACTCATCTACTTTCTCTGACCCACAACATATCTGATGGTAAAGTCATTATTACTCATCCACTTTCTCTGACCCACAACATATCTGATGGTAAAGTCATTATTACTCATCCACTTTCTCTGACCCACAACATATCTGATGGTAAAGTCCTCATTACTCATCCACTTTCTCTGACCCACAACATATCTGATGGTAAAGTCCTTATTACTCATCCACTTTCTCTGACCCACAACATATCTGATGGTAAAGTCATTATTACTCATCCACTTTCTCTGACACAAAACATATCTGATGGTAAAGTCATTATTACTCATCTACTTTCTCTGGCACACAACATATCTGATGGTATAGTCATTATTACTCATCTACTTTCTCTGGCACACAACATATCTGATGGTAAAGTCATTATTACTCATCTACTTTCTCTGACCCACAACATATCTGATGGTAAAGTCATTATTACTCATCCACTTTCTCTGACCCACAACATATCTGATGGTAAAGTCCTTATTACTCATCCACTTTCTCTGACCCACAACATATCTGATGGTAAAGTCCTTATTACTCATCCACTTTCTCTGACCCACAACATATCTGATGGTAAAGTCATTATTACTCATTCATTTTCTCTGACACAAAACATATCTGATGGTAAAGTCATTATTACTCATCTACTTTCTCTGGCACACAACATATCTGATGGTAAAGTCATTATTACTCATCCACTTTCTCTGACACACAACATATCTGATGGTAAAGTCATTATTACTCATCTACTTTCTCTGGCACACAACATATCTGATGGTAAAGTCATTATTACTCATCTACTTTCTCTGGTACACAACATATCTAATGATAAAGTCATTATTACTCATCTACTTTCTCTGGCACACAACATATCTAACTGTAAAGATATTATTACTTATCCACTTTCTCTGACGCACAACAAACATAACAGTAAGTTTTTCCTAAAGGACAGCAGCTCCTGAACTTGGAGTTGTACTTATAATAGATATATACGTTAATGCTGGAGTTGAACATCTGGAAGAACTCGGTCAGACTCACGGAGACCAGGTACATGTTGTGCAGTCGATTGTTGATTGTCAGCTCTGGCTCAATGATCCCTGCGATGTTCACCATTATCTCTGGCATATTGCAAACAATGTACACAACGGATATTAGCGCTACTTGTTTGACAACCTGCACGTCTTTGCGGGACAGTTTGTTCGTGTCTGTGGGTTTAATAAAATTGTCATTTATTCTTGACAGTACTTTCATTGCTGTGTCTGTAGTCGCTAATTTCTCTTGATATTCTTTTGATGATTGATTGTTTATTGAAGGATCCATTCGGTCTGTGACAGGGAGGCTTGTTGACAATAGTCTGAATTTATTTGATTCTCTGAGGCTGTTTGCCATCACAAAGACATAAGCGATGACAATAATTTGAGTAGACGCTGGAATAAAGGCATCTCGTGCACCCCAAACAATGTCTTTCACCAGTTCCCTACTTTTGGACGTCCAAAGCATGGGTCTGAAGATATTGGTGCGTATGTCAAACTGGGTCTTAAATGCCATGTTTGCGAGAATCGGCATGTAACTAATAATGGTAAACAGAGCAAAGCACGACAAAATAAATATGCACCTAGATCTGGTAAAACTGTTTCTGAAATGCAGTGGTCTGACTACGCACATACACCGAGCTACGGCAAGAAAAGTTGTCGTTAACACCGTCATGATGTAGAGAACAATACAAAAGTTAGCAAAAAATATATACATAGTGTAAGGATCTATCCAGAAAAAAAACTGCATAGTGAGTGGCCATTTCGATTACATAGAAAACTGATGCTGCAGCTCGAAGAAACATTGTGAGGGTAAAACATAAGTCAGAGACCGAGAGCACCAGAAAGGATACAGTGAACCCGTCTTCGAGTCTCATGGCGATGAATGTCTGGACGTTGATGAGGTTCCCCAGGAAACCAACAGTGGAGAGGATCATCCAGGCAACACTGAAGGTTCCGGCTATGATGGTGTATTGGTAGCTGGTAATGACTCCGCGTGCGGTCAGTGTCACCTGGATATCCATTGATGAGTTGTTCATGATTGGAGGATGTTAGTAACAAGTCATCGTAATGTCTGGATAGTGGACTCTGGTGAACAAAAAACAGCTTTGTGAGCTTGCAACTAATACTTAATCACACTTTTCTGAATTAGACGTGAAGAATCATACATGTTTACTACGTACTGTTTAAGATCATGGGATGAGGGGGAAGGCTTTGGAGAATAATGTGATGACTGGGAAGATCAACGGTCGAAGAGGGAGAGACAGGCCGAAAGAGATGATGACACATGGACTGCGGCAGTGGCAAGGAGGGGTGTCATCGGTGGAACTGATCCAGATGACAAAGGACCCAGATCTGTTGAGACGCATGAACATCTACGTCAGTCGGCCGAGCACGTGATAATGATGACTGTTAGAGGATAGGGTCTGACTCTCTCACTATGAAATATGGCTTTCACAGTCCTCTGTGGGTCTAGACGTTTCATTCTGCTGAGGGAAACAATGAAAATCCTAAGACGCAGTGTTTGGCTACTGAGCTAGTCTTGCAGCCAAAACCTGTCAGGCTATTTCCTACAACAGTTAATGGGTTTTGAACAACTGATATCTCTTCACTCGGTACATTGTCCCTAAGCGCTCCGTCCTTATCTCCAGCAGCCAGCAAAGAGTTTAATTCTAAGAGTACTAGTAGCAGTTTCAATTTATGTTCGTCTTACCTTTCCTGCGATCGTGGGATGTCAACAAGATCCCCTGGTCATTCCTACCTGACCATTCTCTCCAGACCACAATGATCTATTCGTGCCTCCACGTTGTTCCCTTGCTCCCAAAGAGTCATGACCATATCTAAGCATTAATGGTAAGAACATGGGGTTATGAGGCTCCATAGTGGAATGATAAAGAACAGACACACTGCTTCCCTAACAAGCATGACGTAAGAGTAGGCTAATCGGCGTTTCCTTCGAAGTCGGAATGTAAATGCGCGAGAGGCAAGGAACCTGTCTGCGTACAAATAAAGTAGATCTGTTGAACGGATGCGCACGTAAAACTCAACGTTTGAAACAAGACGAAACACCATTACTTTCAGTCAGAATATAAAGGCCTCCGAATGTGAAGAAGATCAATGGGAAGTACCAGAAGTGGTGACGAGAGACGCCTACACTGACAAAGTTATTTTTTCGCACAAATGTGTCATAGAATAAATACGAATCTACACTAACATCATCATCATTATGTGTGAACAGGCTGTCATGTTTCGCCATCGCATACAATCATCAGAATCACGGATCAGTTTTTTCGGTCTCGCCCCATCTATCTGGCCAGTCGGTCCAAGTATTTATCTCTTTGCTTTCCTCTTACTCTCTTTCCATCAATCTTACCAGTTGTTACCAAATTCTCCAGTCTTTTCCTTCTCATTCATATAGTAACTTTTATGTAACAGAAGTTATCTTCTTCTTCTTCTTTGCGTTCACCAGCTGTACACTCTGGCGAAAAGTTATGGTTGTTCGTTCACTTCTGAACTGCAGTCCTGCTCCAGAACCTGAGTGTTGCGTGTGCATCAGTTTTACAGATCTGATTCACTTGAACCAGGCTGTTGGTTCCTTGCCTCTCAGGCCGATGCACTCAGACTTCAAAGGAAGCTCCCCAATAAGTCGACTCTTACGACATGCTTTTGGGTAGGCAGAGGGTCTATTCCTGTTTTCCCCATGATGGGGCCCCGGAACCCGCACGGGGAAACAGAAGTTATGAGCTGGGTTTTTTTCTTGAAGCACGAACCAGCTTCAGTGTTTCAATAAAAAATTTAACCCTTTAACTGTTTGCCATTGCAACGGTACAACACTCATAATGTTGTCAAACCCCTCTATTATCAAATCGTGTTTGGCTGAATTGGAGTGTCATGTGAATTTAGTTGCGTATCCCTTAAAGGTCGTTGCAGAACCAACCCCAACAGCCCCAGGCTGTTGTGTGGTTTTTCTAGGCCAAATTTACGTCCAGTAGTTTGCCATTGTTTCTAGACGGTCGGCTTTCTTGATACCACTGTCGAAACCAACGCAAGGGGCAAGGCCCGCAGCTGAGATCGAACCCGGCATCCCGGCATTACGAAGCGTTCGCATCGACTTGGCCGCAGAGCCGACGTGTCATGTGAAACTGCATTCAAAATTCTGACGCCTCAGACACCGACATGTATATGCCAACAGAAAAGTGTTAAAATAAGCAAGGTTCTTTCCCACATAGGACTGCAGGTGACACCTGGCTGGTTTGGCTGTTATTTTGCCCTTATTATAACCTCTAAGGAGGTTGAACGGGGTATCTGGGATCCTAATTAGTCTTCTGTCTTGATTAAGATTTTGAAATCTCAGGATGATACGATAAACCTTGAGGTAGCCATGGAGTAAACAAACTCATCGATCGTTTTCTTCGTGTTCACCGGCTGTAAACCTTAACGAAATATTCTGGCTGTTTATCTACCTGTTTTGTTCCAGAACCTAAATGTTGCCTGCACATCCGTTTTACAGATCTGACTTACTTGTAGGCATACCGCTGATTTTTACCTCTCAGGCAAATGCATTCCTCATTTGAAGGGACTTCCCCCGCCCCCGCCTAATTAGTCGACTCTTACGACATGCTTGTTGGGGAGGCGTTGAATCTATTCTTATTTTCCCCATGAGAATACTAAACTCTCGGCACCTATTTCACTTGCAGCATTCAAATTACACGGTCCAACTCCGCGACAATTCGCTAAGGACAGTTAACGGAGGTAATGTGAAACGAGTACATCGGCTAAGGACAGTTAACGGAGGTAATGTGAAACGGGAACAAGGTTGCGCGACGTCACAGAAAACCAGCTCTAATGTTATTATCTGTAACATGAAACTAGTCAAAAGACGTTACACTAGGCCATTAGATGAGCAAGTTTATTTTCTGAAACCACTAGGAATCGTACACACAACAGCGTGTGTGTATGAAAATAGTATTTGATTTATAAATGGGTGCTGGAACATAAAGCTAATGTTATATGGACAAAAAATATATAATTTGTGTACACCAATACTACACGCGTGTCAGCATGAAGGGAGTCGGTATTCCAGAACCCACGTTTAAGGCGTTTCCTATGTGCCAATGAACTGCATGGCTGTTGAGGTGGGGGAGGGGGGGGGGGAGAAAACGAAAGCAGTCAGGTTGTAGAGGGGCGACATTTGGCTGATGGACGTCAAGTTCCTGGTCCCTTCCTCCATAAGGCTCTACTGGGGGTGACCGTTCATAAACCCTCACTTTTGTATTAATCAAAAATGGTAGAAAATTTTCATTAACATGATCTTCGCTGGAGCTACGGAGTAGTTCGTGCTTTCCTACTGAGATCCAATTCAGTGGGTGGTGCCAGGAGTCAGGCGCAAGGTAAACCCGGCAAAGGCTTTCTTAACATGGTTCTCCTTAAAAACCACATTGTCAGTATACCTACGCTAGTAGTGAGCATGTTCGGTATAGAGATCGATAGAACGAACATTGAAGGCTCTGAAGTCAATGGCATACGCCGACATTGAACAACTTATAGTGTTCCTGCTTTACCAGGGACTTGTATTAAATGATATAGACTATGATTTGGGCCTTCTTACTGTCAGCAGAACCGGTTACAAATTGAGGCCATGAGACTCATACTAGCCTGCACCAAAGACACCTTGGGCCTCTTCATGCTGTATATCCTGGGTTTACAGACGATGGCCAGCAGACATAAAAATAGCACAAGTGAAAGCGTACACGAGGATATCAGGGGATGTCAGTCTCCCACTGCACTCCGCTGTCAAATATATAAAAGGGATGTGTCTAAAAAAAAAAAAAAAAAAAGACGTATCTTGGATGTCCGAGGCAGAAATCAAATGAAATAAGTATGTGACCTAGACGAGATCATTCATGGACACTAATGGACTGATACACCAGCAGATAAACATGACTTGCCCAAGGTTGTCACAACTCTGGGGAGATACTACAGGAGTCAGATAACTACCATCGTAGACGCCAAGATTAGGGTACTGACTGATCAGCATTCACGCCCAGAAGACGTCATCATTTACACACTTGGGTCCGTGAATCGCGGATCAAGATCGGCATGTTCATACGCATACTCAGCACAAAGGATAGGGAAAGCAATAAAATAGGATATAGGTGCTTTCTAGACAACTACGTCAAGCATGACCCTGGAGATAACTGCTGCATCCAGAGCACTTGCATGAGTAGCAGAACAAGCGACCACACATGCGGTAATCATTTCAGACTCTGAACATGTTCAGAAAATCACTACAGGGAGTCTACGCTCCAAAAGGGTAAAAAGCATTCGAAAGTCGCAGTTAACCTCCATCATCTGGATCTACACACTTGGAGTACGTGGTAATGAAAAAGCTTACCAGATGGCACCAATGCAAACGGAAAGAAGCATAGACAGAGCTGATATCATCAATTCTGTACGCACTAGGTTGCAGTATAATAGCGAATCTTTGACTCTAACACGATTGCGTGACCGGGGAGTTAAGCTTGATGAAAGACGTTTATGTCGTCTTCGAGGCAAAGACAGGGGACACTATAACCAACTCTTTATGGGAACAATTAGTTGAGGTACCTTAGAATGGTTGCTGCATCGGAGGATTGATCACGCATGGGGATGCCTAATGTGCAAAGAGGTCGATTTTGTAACATAACACAACATAACTAGGGCTTCGGAACCCACACCGGAGAAAAGTATTAATTATTTTCCCAGGTCCACCTAACATAGAGTAGGTACTTGAACATGTCACAGAAAGTGCAAGCGGCTTTTGACCACACCAACCTTGAGTGAAGGTTCATTTTAAAAAAATGTGAGTTTGGTAAAAATTCCCAGTGCACCACTGTATCGTATAACAGTCAATATGTTGGATATAACCTATATCTTCTTCTTCTTCTTTCGTTCGCCTGAAATAAGTTGTCTATATTAGCAATTTTGTCTCTTGTATAAATTTCACTGTTGTTGTTAATTCATTAAGTGGTCCATAGAGTTTACGTTCCACTGTTGTTCT